TCATCATCATCATCATCCTCATCATCCTCATCATCATCCTCATCATCATCCTCATCATCATCATCATCATAATCATCATCATCATCATCATAATCCCGCTCCTCCTCCTACTCCTCCTCCTCCTCATCATCCTCTTTCCTCCTCCTCTTCCTCCTCTGCATCCTCCTCCTCATCATCGTCGTCGTGTCATCATTCTCATGACCAACACCATCACAATCATCACCATCATCATCAGCATCATCATCACCATCATCACCATCATCATCAGCATCATCATGACCACCACCATCATCATCATCAGCAGCAGCAGCATGATCATCATATTTATCCTCCTTACCTTCTTACTGTATCCGCCCACGCAGTCCATAAGCAAGCAAATGGATACGCTCTCGGCCGCGTGCCAGTGCGCGACGGCAGGTATATACGAGCCCACCAGATAGGCTTGGGGAGACGTGGCGCTCCGTGGCTGCAGCGGCGACCGCCAAGACTCGCGCCCTGCTCTGCGCCCTCCTCCTCCTCCTCCTCCTCCTCCTCCTCCTCCTCCTCCTCCTCCTCCTCCGCTCAGCCGTGGGCCCGCTAATCCCACGCCGCTCCTTCCAGCGGCTCCGGGATCAGGTGGCGGTGCTGGGTCTGGGGAAGACCAGTGGCCGCCTTCGGGAGGTGCAGGCAGCTGGCTTCAAGAGCCCCCCGGCTCAGAGATCCCAGTGTCGGGCGGGGGGCTCCTCCACGACAGGAGCGGCGAGGGGCAGGGCCGACCCGATGTCCGGGCGCCGCGGCCTTAGCGTTCCAGAACGCTCTGGAACGGCTTTGTATCCTCGTCCTGGCCCCGACCGAAAAACGTGCCCTGGCCAGAATGCACGGCAGTGGCTTCCGGTCTTCGTCTCTTCTGACTGCTCCTGCTGCCCCTCAACTCACGCTGCGCGTCTCCCCGCCGCTGCCCCTGCTGCACCTCCCGACACGTGCTTCTCGTCTTTGCGCCCAGTCGACTCCGTTGCCGTCAACGTATTTAGAGAAGCGCGTTCCACTACTCGCAAAGTAACTACTCGCGAATGGCCTGGATCCGCCGCGCGGGATCTACGATCCATCAAATCGAAGCAGACATGTGTTTCGGACGTTTGCGAGTAGGCACTTTGCGAGTAGTGGAACGCGCTCGATGAGTATTCGAGGCCAGAACTGAGCGAGCAAACAAATATTTGCATGCACGTCTTCCGCGGTCCTGCTTGCGCTAGTGACCGCGTTCGTAAAGGCTTACAGAAGCTGACCGCGCACGTGTACACATGATGTGGGCCCTGAAGAACGGTGCTGGACTCGGGCGGCGGTAATGGAAGGGCGATGCATGGGGAGGCAGGGAGGGCTATCGAAAAGAGGCCCTGTAGGACCCTTACAAGGAAGGGCCCAGGGCCCAGAAGGAGGCCTTAGGGTCCGAAAAGGGCATATTCTTCCCTCCCCAATAGATTGCCCCCCATAAATCGCGCCCAATGGACTGCGACCTGACGTTTTCTGGGAGCAGCGCCGGCAGTCAGGAACACAACATCGTGGCCGTCCATCGGCGCCAGCGTCGTCGAAACCGCCGCCGTCGTCCAGTCGGGAGCGCCGAGCCGACTTTTCCGAGTCTGCTGGACAAGAGAGCCGCGGCAGGCTCACTGGACTGAGGCGACTATGGTAAATAAGCGGCCTATCGCAGGTCAGCGGTGGGCGACATCCAATGCTTCATCCGACTCTACTAAGAAGGTCGCGTGTACGGACGATGGCATCAGCAACCGCCACGGATCCTCATCCTCCTCCTCCTCCTCCTCCTTCTCCTCCTCCTCCTCCTCCTCCTCCTCCTCCTCCTGCTCCTCCTCCTCCTCCTCCTCCTCCTCCTCCTCCCCCCCCTCCTCCTCCTCCTCCTCCTCTCCTCCTCCTCCTGATCCTCCTCCTCCTCCTCCTCCTCCTCCTCCTCCTCCTCCTCCTCCTCCTCCTCCTCCTCCTCCTACTGAGGGTCCAGGTAACAGAGGTCCGCCTCTCGGGGCGCGACCGCGCGACCGCGGAGGAAGGCCAAACCTCCCCCCTCCGCGCCCAGGAAAGAAAAAGCTGGCCCGGCCCGGGAGCCGAGGCGCGCCCTCACTGGCCGAGGCATGCGGCCGCGGCGACCGCGAGAGCAGCGACGGCACCCAACGCCGACGAGCGCACGGAGGCGCTCCCGAAGTCGCAATGGAGGCGGTCCAGGACGACCGGCGCCGCATCCTGCAGCAGGGCTGAACCTAAACGGTGTTTGTCGTTTTCGTCTTGTTTTCGTTTTCCCTCGTTTTGTCTTCAATCCGCCTTTAACGCAAAACGAAATAAAAAAACGAAAACGGCCCACGAAATCGCCAAAACAACGTTTAGGTCCACCCCTGTCCTGCAGGATGGTGGCCGCGGACTCCTTCAGCGCCAGGTGCTCCACGTAAGCCATGTTCAGCACGCTGCTCGTGCGGTTCGCCACCATTGCCTGGGCGCCAGCTGACACATCCTTAGAGGAAGCAAAAACGGCACAATCAGAATCTTTTGGAGGTCCGCGCGGATTTCTTGGATCCGCGCCCGAGCCCCCTCCCCGGCGCGCGGAACACGCCGGAGGCGGCGCTGAAAGCGCCGCCAGGGGGCCCAACGCCGACCCGAGAAAACCGCGCGGAGCGCCAAAAGTTTACGTTTACAGCATTTCTTCTTCTCCGAGTCCTGCACCACGCTCGGCACGATCTTGCTCATGCTGTCAAGAGCCTCCCTCATGCGACCGAGGCTCCTGTAGGCGGGCGCCATGTTGGACGCCAACATGCCCCCGAGCAGCCCGCACGCCTCGGAGGCGTTGGCCTGGCCGAGGAGGGCCGTGTCCATCCTGAGGAGGTGGTTCCTGAACTCGACGTTGCCCGTCACTCCGCGGAGGGCGACGGCCAGGGTGTACGTTAACTTCTCGGGGTTGCCGCTGTCCCAGTGCTGCAGGCGGGCAAGGATGAGGTCGAACGTCTGCTCCAGGGTCCTGATTTCGCCTCTGGTGTCGTTGAACAGCTTCCCCACCAGGGCGACAAACTGGCGGGTGTCGTAGTCGAGGTGAGTACTGCGGAAGACGTCCACCTTGTGCCTGACGGCTTCGACCATCTTGGCGGAGGCGGCCGCGGACTTGAAACGCATGCCTGGAAGAATAAAAAGCGGCATAAACATGAACTGTTGGCACTCCGCGCAGATTTCTTGGATCTGCGCCGACCCCCCTCCTGGCGCACGGAGCGCGCCAGGGGCAGCGCCGGAGGCGCCGCCAGGGGGGCCCATGCGCCGATCCAAGAAATCCGGGCGGAGCGCCGAAAGTTTATGCTTATGCGGTTTCTTCTTATTCTTCTTCTTCTTCGGATGCCCTCGAGGCGCTCGTCGAACCAGGTCACGTTCTCGGGCCCCCAGCTCACCATGTTCGAGGTCATGTTGTCGAGCACTGGCTTGGTGACGTCGAGCAGGCGGAGCACCTCCGCCTCGGGCAGGGTGTCGTTGCTGGCCTCCCTGCGCATGGCGTCGGCGTCCTGCCAGAGCTGCCGCCGGGTGTCGGACTCCACGGCAAAGCGGTGGTGCTGGTACTGGATCTCCTTTCTCTTGGCGATGTCCACCTCCCTGCGCGCGTCGCGGAGCTGCCTCTTCTCCGCCTGCTGCTCCCTGGCCCACGTGGACGCCTCCTCGCGCTCGCGCCGCTTGTACTGCTCGATGTCCCTGTCCTCCTTGTCGAAGTCGGCGTCGGCCTCCTTCTCCATCCTCTTGATCTCGCGCTCGAGGTCACCCGCGCTCCGGCCCTCCCCCGCCTCCACCACCCGGCTCATCCGCATCACGCCGTCGATGGTGCGGCTCTGCGCCTCTGCCTCGCGCTCCATGGAGGCGACCACGCGGTCCAGCTTGAGCTCCTTGCCCACCTCCTGGCTCAGCTCGGCCTCCGCGTGGCGGTCCATTGCCTCCATCTGGCGCTTGGACAGGTTGCTGTGCAACTCCTCGGTGGCCTGCTCCGCCTCGCGCAGGGCCTTCACCGCCTTGGCCTCGGCTTCGGCCGCCTCGGAGCCGAACCACCCCACGTCGGAGTCGGCCCTCACCATCTGCTTCTCGGTCTGGCCCAGCCGCCTCGCATCGCTGGGATCCTGGCGATCGACCCACAGTGCGCCGCAGACAGCGGTCGCGGCGACGGCCACCGTGGCGCGGAGCATTGCCATCGAACGGGTGTCGGCGGCAGACCGAAGCAGGAAGAGTTCGATTGTCAGAAGTGCAAGACTTGAGCCAAAGCGCCCACAGACATTCGTCCTCCTCCTGGTCTTGGGACTGTTGTTTGCGGCCCTTGATGTAAAGCGCAGATGAATTTCATAACTGATGTTTCCCTACCATCCTGTGGTGTTGGGTCCTCGTTTTGAAAAAACAGCGCCCCGCCTCCTCCTCCTCCCCCTCCTCCGTCCTCCCCTCCCTGCTTCTGCTCTCCGCATGCCCATCCTATTTCGCCACACCCCTCACACGCTTCGTGGCCCCATAAGGACCTCCAACGAGGTTCGAAATAGATGCGTTCGCATGGCGCCACCGCACGCATTCCGGCACACCCCTCACACGCTTCGTGGCCCCATACGGAGCTCCACCGAAGGCTGCGCTCGCATGGCACGCACCACCGCGCCCATTTCGGCACACCTCCACGTTTCGTCCAATGGGGATCTCCACCGAAGGCCGAAGTGGCTGCGCTCGCATGAAACCACCGCGCCCATTTCGGCACACCCCTCCCACGTTTCGTGGCCCCGTAGGGAACTCCACCGAAGGCCCAAGTAGCTGCGTTCGCATGGCACCACCGCGCCCATTCCGCACACCCCTCACACGTTTCGTGGTCCCATAGTTGGCTGCGCTCGCACGGCACCACCGCACCCATTTCGGCACACCCCTCCCACGTTCCGTGGGACCATAGGGAGCTCCACCGCTTGCCCCAATGGCTGCTCTCGCATGACACCGCCGCGCCCATTTCGGCACACCCATCACACGCTTCGTGGCCCCATAGGGAGCTCCACCGAAAGCCCAAGTCGCTGCGCACGCATGTAACCACCGCACCCATTCCGAACACCCCCCCTTCACACGCTTCGTGGCCCCCACAAGGAGCATAAGGAGCTCCAACGAGGCCGAAGTCGCTGAGATCGCGTGGCACCACCGCACCCATTTCGGCACACCCCTCACACGTTTCGTTGCCCCATAGGGAGCTCCACCGATGGCCCCAATGGCTGCGCTCGCATGGCACCGCCGCGCACATGTCGGCACACCCCTCCCACGATTCGTGGCCCCATACGGAACTCCACCGAAGGCCGAAGTCACTGCGCTCTCGTGGCACCGCCGCGCCCATTTCGGCACACCCATCACTTTTTTTTTTGGATTTGCACGCGGGTGAACGTCCGCCGAACACTCCTGCTCCGACGAAGAGCGAAGGGGCCCGAAGGGGACCGAAAAGGGAACGAGGGACGGACCCAGGAACCCAGACAGAGACGAGGCGGAGGGCCACGACCGACAAACAGGGGCACGAAACCTCGAGGGCCCGAATGCACCTGCAATTCAAAAGATCATCCTCGGACGTGCGGTAGCGCCAACACTGGACAATCTATTATATCAAACGGGGCGGCAACTAGAGAGAGATCTCAAGACAGCCTCCTCATCCTCCATCCCTCCCATTCCCGCCCCCCAACAAGACACACAGACGGGAGTGAGGGGAGGTCGCGGGGAGGGCAACTGAGGCGCGCGGGGGGCGTCATACAGCCCGCTTGAAGCGGCGCGGCGTCAGCCTCCAGCCTCTGGGCATGCTGTCGCACCAGTCGCCACCAGACGAGTCGCAGACAGACGAACCAGGTCGGAACGAGTTCGTGGCGAACGTGAACCCGATGTTGTCGCGACCAGCGACAGGAGCAGCAAGTTTCTGAACTTCAGTCGCGGGCCCAGCGCGGAGGACAGGATCATTGCGAGCAGGGCGCAGCAGCCAGGCGTCGGCGATGGCCTGGCGGGCAGTCCACCAGCGAGCACCGCCCACGCCATGAAGATCAGCGCGTCGATCTCGGTCACGCCTACGGGCAGGAAGACGAAGATCAGCATCATCAGGAAGAGCGGCTCCACCAGAATCGTCAGGTAGCTCAGGAAGAGCGGCTCCACCAGGAAAATCAGGTAGCCCATGAGCCCCAGGATCGTCAGGTAGCTCATCAGGCAGGCCGGCAGGAGAAACGCCATGAACCGCTTCAGCAGGAAAAGCACCACCATATCACGATGAGGCACATCTGCACGCACAGAAGGCTCATCTGCAGGAGCATGAGGGTCGCCAGGGTGAGGAACATCGCCATCACACAGCAGGGCACCCAGCAGGTCGTCCACGGTCTTCTGCTCGAAGTCGTACTGGCCGTGGTATAACGCGGCACGGAACAGCTCGAGAGGGACCAGGCTGATGCCGATCGGCATCTTGGGGATGGCAGGCGTGTCGCGTAGTGGCGCGTGCCGAGCCCAGTTGCTGTCAGCACAGGCTGCGGCCGCCAACGCGATGAGATCGGGCGACACAGCCCCAAGAAGATCGGCAGCAGCAAGGGCGTCGCCCATCTTGGGGTGGTGGCCGCCGATGGCGTCGCTCAGGTCCCAGTGGGCGGTAAGTCCAACGCGGAGCAGGACCAAGCGCCGCTGCAGCGCCTGAGCACGCGGAAGTCCGATTTCATGACGATATTGCCGCCGACGGCGACGCGCGAGCGTCCTCGCACTCGCGGCAGCCCAGCGGCGTCCGGAACTCTTGCTGAAGAAGGCGACGTCCTCCATGGCCGCTTGCGCGCCTGCGCCCGAGCAGGCGCGCTGGCGAGGGCCTCCCGAAGCGCGCGGCTCGCTTGAGCCAAAATGGCTACGGACACACCCATCACACGCTTCGTGGCCCGATAGGGAGCTCCACCGAAGGCCCCAGTGGCAAAGGCCCAACGCGCTTCCCCTACCCATTACAACGCTTCGTGGCCATTTGGGGGGCTCCACCGAAGGCCCCCGTGGCACAGTTCGTCCCCACCCAGTACAGCGTTTCGTGGTCCACAGGGAGCTCCACCGAAGGCCCCAGTGGCAAAGTTTGCATGCGCTCTCCCCCACCCAGTACAGCGTTTAGTGGTCCGTGGGGACCTCCACCGAAGACGATCCCCACAACAGTGGGACTCACAAGTGCATATGGTTGGATCTGCCGCCTGGCTAGTGCTGCTGGGTCGGAGCTCCCAGCCAGTTCGGCAGATGGTGCATGAGATGCACCAGGCGCCGACGCTCGAGGAAAGGCCCGAGCCTCAGTGTGACAGGGTGTGGACGGGGGGAGGCGGGAGCGGGGAGGGGATGCTGACTGCTGAGTTCGGTAGACGGCCTCACAAAATCGGATGTGTGTTGTGACTTCTGACACTTTTTCCAGAGAAAGGGGTGACGGGCCACAGTGCAATGAGCCTCCTCTCTTCCATAACCATGCTGCTTTCCTTGGGGCTCGGCGCCGAGCTGTAGCGGGCCCACAGG